GCACTGCGCGAGCTCGGGAGGCTGTTACGTTTCGATTCCCCAGCGCCGTGCAGCGCTCTTCGTCGCGATACTCCCCGAGTGCGCGAGACTCGGCGTGTATGTGTGTGTGAGTGTGTGTGTGTGTGTTTCTCGGCGCGCATCGCATCGGCCTAGACTGCTATGGTTGTATTGGGTGCGATAAACGGGTTTTGTAATTCCCCTGCCCGCTGCGCCGCGCCGTGCATTGCAGTTGCACTGCAGTTGCACCCCGACGCGACGCGCCGCGCGTGCAGCGCCTTGCAGTTCCTGGCAGCCAAAGAGGAGGAGTTGGCCGGGCCGGGCCGGGCTGGGCCGGGCTGGCTGGGCTGGCCGGGGCGTGATAGGTGGTGCTAGCTGCATTCCGGCTGCTCCACTTGTATGGCGGCACCGTGCGTGGTGGCGGCTTGGCTATGGCTCGTGGAAACACACGTTGCTCCTAGTGGACCTCTGAGCTTGGACGACCTCCAGCAGACTGTGGGGAAGTCTATATCAATTTTTCCTACCTAAATGTTCGCCTACCTGTCTATTTCGCCTACCTATATTTCGCCTACCTAATAAAAATATTGAATAAAAATATTCAATAAAATATTGCCATTTTTCGCCTACCTATAGTTCGCCTACCTAATATAAAAATTAAATAAAAATATTCAACAAAAAAACGAAAAAATCGGCGGCAAAAAGTGGCAATACGAAAGTCTCAAGGAGACCCGCCGATCAGCTTCGGTGTTCTTATGGGAACCGGGCCTTCATCCGACGCTCCCTGCCGCGCAATTCGACAGATTAGTGGGTTCGTATTAGGCTGGCCCACCCGAAGTGCGCGCGGTTTCTGTGGTACAGTGAGAGTCCAGATTCAGAGGCCTTACCTCAGAGGGGTCACATTGGGTATTTGAACCCGCGACCCCGAGTGCCGAGTCTAGTCAACTCCTCTACCCTGACCGCTCAGCCACCGAACCAGCTTGTCGGCGGCGATGTCGCAACTCCTCTTGAGCTGCCGTTCGAGAAATCTGGTCCCGAAAAAATGGTAATTTGAGCGGTCTCGAACCCGGGACCTGCTGCTTCCCACATCATGCTCTTAACCACTTTTTTTTTTTTTGTAAAATTTGTTTATTGTCAAAATTAAAATAGGTATACAACATTTTGCTGAGAGGGTACATTACATTTAGTTGATTTTATACATCGGAATAAATTAGTTGTTTTGTATAGTTGTTTGTTGGGGTTGTGCATAAAGTTTTTATTTTATTTATTGTTTTTGTAGTGTTACCGTACAGCTTTGAATTGTTGAGGTGCATTTATTTGACGCATGTAGTTTGTTGTTACCTATTTTAGCCTAATACACTTGCGTTTAGATTGGACAAGCTTATACAAATTTTACACTTTTGGACGGGATAGAAATTTTGAAAGCCTAAATTATTTTGAACGTTTTACAATATTTTTTGTGTACCGGAGCAGAAGGTTTTTACAGGGCTTTTTAATTTGCAATACATTGCGGTACAGTAGTTTTTGAGTACTTGATGACTACGGTAGCAAGGATTTGTACATATTATCTGCCGAAGCAGGAGCTTTACCTGGTGACTACTAGTTAACGGAGAACGTAGTTGCTTATTAGTACCTTACTATGCTAAGAGTGTAAACACAGTTAGTACACTATCACAGTACACAGTACACTATCACAGAATTTAAATGACTAGATTTATTTAAGAGGGAGCCTGTTAATAAAGTCCCCAAAAATCTTTGTACTGTTGGTGCCCAGGGCTTGCCGGGCCTCCTCCAAAAAGGCTTTGAAGTTGTCTTCGGTGTGCTCCGCCAGGGGCGCTTCTATGATGAAGCGCACGGCCTTGCCCATCACCCAGTGGATGGTGTTATCCAGCTGCTTTGGCGTCCACTCCCGATCCGGGCGCATGAGTTGGTCGGCGCTCGTCCTGGCCACCTTCTTGTCCATCCACTGCCTGATCGTCCTGGCTCCGGTGCACTCGGCCAGGCGGTGCCGCAGCGTGTCCTGCGCCCCGCAGGTAGTGCACGCCGCCGTCGTGGCGAGCCCGTGCCGCTGCAGCTTGTCGCCCGTGGGGTGGATGTTGTGCACCACGATGAACCACGCCGACCTGGTGGCGGAGCCGTGCCAGGACCGCGAGATGTGCCGCCAGGCCGCGGGCCACTCCACTGGCCGCGAGGGGTTTTCTTCGACGCGAGGCTTGGGGGCGGGGTGGTCCGCCATGAACTGTACGTAGAGGCCCCGGTGTACGTCCCGGGCGGTGAAGTTGCTGTCCAAGTCCAAGTTGCAGCCCGGCCGGTTGCGGTGGTAGGCGGCGTAGTGCGTGAGGGCGTCCGGGATGTCACTCAGTGCTGTCGCGTTGTTGGGCGGCCACTTCTCCACCATGACCTGCAGGAAGGCGGACGTGTAGCTGTCGGTGTCAAGTAGAACCGCCGCCATCCACCTGCCGATGAATAGGGAGCGGGCCTTCCACAGCGGGTGCAGCAAGCCAAGTCCTCCCTCCTGCCGCGGGGCGCACATGATGGGGAATGGCACCCGGTACAGTCGGCCCGTCCAGATGAACCTGCCCACGGCGGTGACGATCTTCGCGGCGACGCTCTCGGGTATGGGCAGAACCTGTGCAACGTACCACAGTTTGGACAGTACGTACGTGGATGTGAACCACACTCGTTGAATCAGGTTGAAGGCTCGGCCGTTGTTCTGGTGCATGACGTGGTTGGCTCCGGCGAGGACTTTGGCCCAGGACAGTTGTGACATCTGCTTGATGTTGTTGGCGAACATGACGCCCAGGATGCGGCAGCTGTCCACGTAGCGGTACGGCAGTGGGTGCTGAGTCGGGTCCCAGGTACCCAGGGCGATGGCGAGGGTCTTCGCGTCGTTGACGGCGAGCCCGGAGACGGTGCCGTACTGGGCCAGGGTGCCGGCTAGCACCTGCACGTCGTTGGCGTTCGTGAGTAGCGCCGTGACGTCATCGGCGTACGCGGTGACGCTGAAGTGGGCTTCCCGCGCGTCGATGCCGGTGAGCCGTCTGTCCAGGATCTCGACGAGGGGGTTGATGGCGATGGCGAAGACCAGCGAGGAGACGGGGCATCCTTGTCTCACAGAGCGCCGCACCTTGAAGCATTTGGACAAGTACCCGTTTATTTGTAGCCTGGTACTTCCCTCCGCGTACATGGTCTTGAAGGTCTTGACGAAGGGTTCGCCGAAGCCCATGCGCTCCATGACGTCGAAGAGGTAGTCGTGGCGAACGTTGTCGAATGCGCCAGCAATGTCCGCCGAGATTAGACACCCCGGCTGCTCCGTGAGGTCGTGGTACGCCACAACGTCGCGGAGGTCGCAGAGTGCCCCGGTGATGTTGCGTGCCGCCCCGGCCTGGACGACCATGGGGTGCAGGACCTTGCCGAGGACGGTCTGCAGGCGCGCGGCGACCGCCCGAGCGAGCATCTTGTAGTCGCCGTTCAGGAGCGTGATTGGTCTGAAATCCTTGATGGTAACGGGGTTCTTTGTCTTGGGCACGAACACCATCACTCCGGCGTACATGCTGTCGGTGAGGCGTCCTCGGTCTAACACGGCGTTGTGCACTTCGACCATGGTGTCGCCGATGACGCTCCAGGTGGCCGTGTAGAACTCTGCTGGAAGGCCGTCCGGTCCGGGGCTCTTGTTTCGGGGCGCGCGTCGCATTGCGGCCTCCAGCTCGTCCTTTGTGTAGGGCGCGGCGAGGCGTTGGCGGTCCGTGTCGTCGAGGCTTGCCGTGATGGCCTCCAGGATGTCGCTGTCTGAGACCAGTGGCGTCTCGGGGGCCGAAAACTTCTGTGCGTAGACTTGGTGGGCGTGGTCCAGGATGTCCTTTTGTGTTTGGAGTGTCCTGCCGTCCTGGTCCTGGAGCTTGGTGATGCTCAGGGAGTCCTTCTTCTTCTTGGCGGTAAAGATCGTGCTCATTGAGGGTTCTTCCCCGCCGCATGGCATGCTGTTCTTGTTGTGTCCTGCGTCCTTGAACTGCTCGCGTTGCTCCTTGCGAATGGCCGCTCGCAGCGCCGTTATCTCGTCGTTGTCCGCGGGGCTTAGGGTGGCCTGGCCGTACAGCCCGGCGAGTCGTTGGAGGTGCACGTCGATGATGGACTTTTTCTTCTCGCGGCATGTTTTGGCGAAGTACCTGCAGAAGGACTGGATGCGAGGTTTGGCGTACTTGTCCCACCAGTCGGCGGTGTCCTGGAAGCGCCTTCGGTGGTGTAACCACTCCTGCCACTTGGCCTTGAATTCTTCCTCGAAGCGCGGGTCGCCGAAGATGAAACGCGCGGCCTTCCAGTACGACGGTCCCTGTGGTAGGTAGGGCACGCCGAGGTTCACGTGCACCGAGACCCCTTGGTGGTTTCCGAAGGACACCGTGTGGGTGTGGGTCGACTTGACGTTCTTCTTGGCGGCCGTGCTGATGTAGATCCTGTCCAGACGCGACCTGCATCCCGCGGTGTGGCACGTGTAGGCTGGCTGCGTGGAGAGGGCCCGCCACGCGTCGCAGAGCTGCAGCCCGTCGACGATTTTCTGTAGGGCGATACACTTGTTGAACACTCCCGTTGTGTCGTTCGCCTCCAGGACGCAGTTAAAGTCGCCCCCCAGGACGACTCTTCCAGCTGCACCGGCCTGCCCGTTAAAGAGTGGGACTATCTCCTCCGCGAAGAACTGCCTGCGTTCCTGCCCTTGGTGGCTGCCCGATGGTGCGTAGACGTTGACGAACCTGACGTCTCCGAACGTGCCGGCGACGCCGCGCCCTGACGCGATGGTGGTGAGGTCGGTGATAGGGAGGGTATGGCGCCACAACAGCGCGGTACCGCGGCGGTTCGGCCCCACGTTGACGAACTCGTTGTAGCCGTAGAAATCGAACGCCGGCACCGCAACTTCTTGCAGGAACGCCACGTCCACGCGTTGTGAGTCTAGGAGTTTTCGGACTTCTTCAAGTTTCGCTGGTGACGTGATGACGTTGATGTTCAAGCTTAAGATGTTGGTAGTTAGCTCAGCCATTGGGCTATGGGCGGGCTGTTTTTACTCCACTTTCCTTTTCCTTGAGCCTCTGCGACTTGCGGAGCCTCCGCTTTTCACTCGCAGATGCTTCCCAATCCGCTGTTCGCTTGAATCCTTTTCCTTCTCCGTCTCCTTCTGATGAACTGAATTCCATGTCGTCGTCTGCCGCTGGATCGTTGCTGTCTTCTAGGGTTAGCTGTAGAATGTTGTCGTCTTTTCCAGGGATTATACTGCTCCAGTCGATTGCCGCCGTGGTGGTTCTCGCGGCGGTCTCCCGCTCGCCCTTGGTGTCGTTTGGGTTGTCTACTTGCCGGGCGCTGGCGCTGGCTGTCGGTGCTTCGACGTGGTTCTCGGCGCTGCCGCTAGGTGTCGCGGCGTCTGCTTGTTTTGACGGCTGCCCGCCTGTCTTCGTGGTGTCTTCTGCTGTGTTGTCTGGTTCGGTAACGGTGTGGTTGTTGTTCCTGTTGTTAATCCCGCTCACAACATCTGCCCACCGGTTGACTCTGCCTTGTGCTGACTTTTTCTCTGGGCAGTCGAAGCGCAAGTGCCCTGGCTTGTTGCAAATGGCGCACGTACGCTCTTGCCCGTCGTAGACCACTGTAGCTCGGGTGCGCGATGTTCCAATGTGGAGGAACGATGGTATATGAGTTCGGAGCTCCATTCTTGCGATGCGTACACCACTGTCGCACTTGAAGATAAAGTTCTCCCCGTACGCGGTTGCCCTGATGTTTATGACTTTTCCGTACGGCGCCAGTGCTGCGGTGAGCACGTCGTTCCTAACCTCAAAAGGCACGTTGAAGATTCGCACCTCGCGGTACCCGTAGCCGCAGTTCGTGATCTCCACTTGCACCCTGGATCCGTCTTCGGTCATTATGGTTCCTTTTCCTTCAGTTAGGCCCATGATGGCGTCGCATTTTGCCCCGTTGGTAAACTTCACGTACACTCGGCGAGTGCCGAATTCTTGCTGTATGCCGCAAATGTCGTTCACAGAGCACAACAGATCGTCTCGGAGCCATCGTTGAAAAGTCATGGGGGTAACTTTCGGGCCATCCTGGTCGATGTCGAACAATAAGGTGTTCACTCGGGCTTCCATTTTCACAACCACAAAAATCACGCGCGCGCTAGATCGGACGCGTCAGAGCTGCTCAGGGGAGCCCTCACCCGTGCGTCCGCACTCCACCGAAGCGGGAGCTGGACTGCCCACTGAGCCACCGGGACGCCATGGCACCCGCCCTGCCTGCGCTGGTACTCAATCTTCTCTGGATATACCTCCCCAAGCAATTGGTCGCCGAAAAAATTGTGTACACTACCGGTCCCGAACCCGGGACCTGCTGTTTCCCACATCATGCTCTTAACCACTGAGCCACCGGGACGCCACGGCACCCGCCCTGCCTGCGCTGGTACTCAATCTTCTCTGGATATACCTCCCCAAGCAATTCGTCGCCGAAAAAATTGTGAATACTACCGGTCCCGAACCCGGGACCTGCCGCTTCCCACATCATGCTCTTAACCGCTGAGCCACCGGGACGCCATGGCACCTGCCTTGCCAGCGCTGGTACTTATTCCTCTCTGGATAGACCTCGTCAAGAAGTCGGTTGCCTCTGCCGAAAAATATCCTCATGGCACTAGCCTCGAACCCGAGACCTGCTAGCCAGGAACGCAGCACTCTAACCACGGCGCTACCAGGTTGCTATGCACGCCACTAACCTAGCGCCAAACTTCAATAGCCACCCATCTTGCTTGATGCTGGACAAATAATAACTTCGGCGATGGGGTGAGCGCTGTGCGTAGCAACCAAGTAGCGCAGTGGTTACAGTGCTGCGTTCCTGACTGGCAGGTCTCGGGTTCGAGACTAGTACCATGACCATATTTTTCGGCAGAGGCAACCGACTTCTTGACGAGGTTTATTCGGAGAGGAATAAGTACCAGCGCTGGCAAGGCGGGTGCTATGGCGTCCCGGTGGCTCAGCGGTTAAGAGCATGATGTGGGAAGCGGCAGGTCCCGGGTTCGGGCGGTAGTATACACAATTTTTTTGGCGACCAATTGCTTGGGGAGGTATATCCAGAGAAGATTGAGTACCAGCGCAGGCAGGGCAGGTGCCGTGGCGTCCCGGTGGCTCAGTGGTTAAGAGCATGATGTGGGAAACAGCAGGTCCCGGGTTCGGGACCGGTAGTGTACACAATTTTTTCGGCGACCAATTGCTTGGGGAGGTATATCCAGAGAAGATTGAGTACCAGCGCAGGCAGGGCGGGTGCCATGGCGTCCCGGTGGCTCAGTGGTTAAGAGCATGATGTGGGAAGCAGCAGGTCCCGGGTTCGAGACCGCTCAAAGTACCATTTTTTCGGGACCAGATTTCTCGAACGGCAGCTCAAGAGGAGTTGCGACATCGCCGCCGACAAGCTGGTTCGGTGGCTGAGCGGTCAGGGTAGAGGAGTTGACTAGACTCGGCACTCGGGGTCGCGGGTTCAAATACCCAATGTGACCCCTCTGAGGTAAGGCCTCTGAATCTGGACTCTCACTGTACCACAGAAACCGCGCGCACTTCGGGTGGGCCAGCCTAATACGAACCCACTAATCTGTCGAATTGCGCGGCAGGGAGCGTCGGATGAAGGCCCGGTTCCCATAAGAACACCGAAGCTGATCGGCGGGTCTCCTTGAGACTTTCGTATTGCCACTTTTTGCCGCCGATTTTTTCGTTTTTTTGTTGAATATTTTTATTTAATTTTTTTATTAGGTAGGCGAACTATAGGTAGGCGAAAAATGTCAATATTTTATTGAATATTTTTATTCAATATTTTTATTAGGTAGGCGAAATATAGGTAGGCGAAATATAGGTAGGCGAAATAGACAGGTAGGCGAACATTTAGGTAGGAGAAATGAACAACTCCCCTGTGGGGCTGGGGAGTCCGTAGGCAACCGTGCCAGGTCCCCGTCAGACGCCTGCCAATAGGTAGGCAGCGACGCCAGGTCCCCGTCAAACGCGTCCCGAGCTCTGGAGCCGATGGGTCGGCACCGTCGGCACCCTCTCCCCTCCGCACGCCGGCACGCCGCGTTGCCCAACCTGGTTTCCAGCTGCCGTGTCTGCCTACTCGGCTCCGCGCTCCGCTCGTGTCGCCCTTTCCGTGTGGTCCGGGACGCGCTCGCCGACCGCCCCGCCGCCACGCGACTCGGCCACATCTCCGGCCTCATCTCGGGGGATCGCATTTCGCTCCGGCAGGGCGGGGCGGCGGGGCGGCGGGGCGACGGGGCGGCGGGGCTGCGTCCGGACGTGGCCGTCGTCTATGGAGCGATGGGCGCGCCGGGCTGCGTCCGAGGCGGTGCCTCCGCGTCGTGTGCCTTGCGTCACGAACACCGTGGTGCGCCGCCACGCCGCCGCATGTCCAGGGTCGTGTGGCGACTGCGGCTGTGCGACTTGTGTGGGTCTTGGGGTAGGTCACCTTGTTCCCTGTCGAAGACCGTTAAACAGCGACGCGTTCTTTGCAGAGGCGCGCGCGCCCGGCGGCGCCGCGTCAGCTCGCGTGTGGAGTCGTGGCGTGGCCGGGCGTGCCCTCCCCGGCGGCGGCGACGCGGCCACGCGGCGAGCAGGCTTGGGGCAGGTTATGAACGTGCTCCCGGCCGGCGACACCGCTGAGGTCGCACGCTAACTGCTCTGGCGGCCTGTTGGCCTGGCGGCAGCGTGACGCAGCCTGGGTCTCGCTGGTCGGATTCTGGCGGCCGCGGTGACTCAGATTGCGACTCAGGGCCTGCTGAGTTTGCCGAGCTTTCTGATTATGCCAACTGCAATCTCCCCTGGTTGTCTATGCAAACCATGTTCACCGTCGATGCTAACTGAACGAACTCATTTCTACGAGCGACTTCGCTGGCTCTGGCGACGTCGCGGGCCCCGCCACACTTCCTGACACGCCGTCTCGCCGGCCGGACGGCGCTGCGCCGCGCTGCGCCGGTCCGCTTGCACCGCGGCGCTGCAGGCTGCAGGCAGGCTGCAGGCCGATGCCCGCTGATAGTGTATCTGATGCTCTGTTGGTGGTCCCGGGGCGACGAGCGGCGGCAGGACCTTCGGGGCCCACTAGGGCCGGGCTGGCCGGCCTCAGCGGGGACACGACGTGCTCCAGGTGGCTCCGGTTGTGCCCCGGCGGACGGAAGACTGCGGCTGCGCCGTCGGTGTGCATAAGCTCGAAAAATTTGTTTTGAAACTGCTCTTTGTACGTAACGCGTACAGAATGTTCAAACCATTCATTTTGGAACTGATTTTGCTTTTTCTGTTTTCTCTCATTTTGCTGCACTCTGTCTGTGCTGCACATCACCGTGCCCCGAGGCGGTCCGTTTCCGACTCGCTACGGCTGTCTTTAGAAATCAGTGTATTATCCTTGTCGATATGGGCCGCCGTCGTCCCCGCCTCGGGGCCGCGAGGCAGATCGCCGTTTCGATACATTCCGTGCATAAAATGCAGGAGCCGCTGATCGACATCAGTTTTGTTCGCCTTTTACGCCAAGTCCCTCCGGTGCTCGCCGGCGCCCGCTTTGGCCCCGGCCGATCTGGGCCGAGAGCCGTTTAGAAAGTCATTTCGCCTGAAAATCCCTCAAGTAGCCGGGCGCGCGAAAACGCCCCACGCGTTTGAGCGAAGAAGACTCGGCGCCGGCAAAGGGGGAGAACACTGTTAAAAGAAACTGTAGGAAAACAGCACATTTACCAACGAGTGATTTGCTTTTAAGCAGCACGTGTCATCGGAACTTAAAACAGCACAAATGCTGTTAGGAAACAGCAAGTTTCATCATTGGAGAAAACAACAAATATAGTCGATTTCCAATGCTGGAAAACAGAACATCTTGTTTGTAAAATTAATGATATATGCTGTTTTGGAACGGTATCCTGTCATTTAAAAACAACACCATTCAATTGAAGATATGCCGGAGCATTTTGCAGCTCACGGCTCAAATCAAACTCCAACTATGTCAAAATAAATTCTGTTGTTTCTAAACAGCATTTGTGTTGTAAAGTTTTTTAGCAACACTTCCAATTTTTAAACAGCGGTGAACTGTCTAAGAACTGCACGAACTGTTACAAAACAAATGTCTTGTTTGAGCCGTCAGGAAACTCCTATTTCGTTTTTGTGAATAACAGAGAGACCGCGTTGAAGAACAGTGCTGTTTGTAAACAGGAAAGAGCGTTTCTGAATGACTGCTAGTATTGGATAAGACTATTAGGACCCTCGACATTTTTTTTGTGTATAACAACTTCTTTGTTTGAAAACAGAAAAGTGTTGTTTATGAACAGGTTGGTGCCATTTGGAAATGGTAATTCTGTTACACAACAACTTATTGTCAGAGATCAGATACAGAGAGCAATCATCCCTTTTTACAACACTGCTGTTGGATAACGACTCAGTGTCCAACAATATGCCGTTCTTCTACAACAAGTGTTGCTAAAAAACTTAACAGGATATATGCTGTTAATTAACAGCATCTTTTCTATCAGTGAAGGCGGAGGAAAAAAAACATCAGGGAGCGAGATTGCGATTGTAAAAAGCTGACGGCTGCGAACCGCGCCGGCGTGATCTTCTGAAAGAGTTGTCAGTTACTCGGGCGTCCACGTGTCAGAGTAATTCTGTGTGTGAGTGTGTGTCGGTGTGTGTCAGTGTGTCTGTGTGCGCGCGAGGGCCACGGTTTCTTCACCCTCGTGATGTGTCTTTCGATTGTCTCGTTCACATCGGCGAGCTGCTCTCCGGCCTGCTCCTCTTGTTTGGGCTCGGCTCGGCCGGGCTCGGCCCGTCGGCGTGCCCCGGCGTGGCACTCTGCGCCGCTCCGCTCGGCTCTGTTCGACCCGGTTATATTCCTCTCGTGACTCGCGTATACGACTGTCAGTTCTTGCTGTTGTTGTTGTTGCCCGTCTTGCTGCTCTTGTTGTTTATGTCGGCGCGCGAAAACAAGCACTCTTTGAACGCGCGGTGAGCGTGTTTGGTGTATACAGGGTATGCACCCAGAGTCAGGGCTGCCAACACTCGATGAATTATGGAGGCGGTGCCAACCTCACAGCAGTGACATCTCCGCTCGGTGTCGGGGGAGCGGGAGACGGTGAGAGGGGAACCTTGCCGCGGGCTGCGGAGCGTAATGTGAGTCATTTGCGGAACAAACGAAAATCATACGGAGCGCCGGTGAGGTTTACGATCCAGAGGCCTGGAGGAGT